CGCCTCGGCGTGCTGGGCGGCGTCGGCGCCCGACAGGACGAGGACCAGGTCGTAGGACGCGGGCGCGAGCGTCACGAGGCCGGCGGCCAGGCGGTCCAGCATATAGAGCTCCGGCTTGGAGGAGGTGGGGGAGGCGGGTGTGGCGTCGCCGCGCTGGACCGCGGCCAGCGTGTCGGCCATGACGCTCTGCTGCGACGCCAGCGCCGGTGTGGCGAGCAGCAGAGTCCTGTGGCTGGCGATGCCATTGGGGGCGGCCGAGGGCGCGGCCAGACCCAGGTCTGGGGTTGTGTCTATGGTGACTGCTGCTGGTGACATTTTGTCTTCCCTGTCTTCTCCCGGAACCCCTATTTTCGTACGCGCAGAAACGAGGAGGGGCAAGTTGTCGAGGGGAGTCGGACCCCGTGGGACTCGCAATGCGGGGGCCGGCCTCGGATCAGATTGGGAATGATATCATACGTTGACTATGTCGGCTCGCGGTTGAACGTAGAAGTGCAACTGGGGGTTTGTTTACTTGATATTCTTCGTTTATCCTGCGGCGTCCTGGCTCATGACAATGGAACCGGAAATGCGCATTTTTGCCTGGCCTCTGACAAATGCGATGACAGTGAGTGGGACAGTCCAGGCACTGTGGGGCTCGCCTCCGCCACAGCTGGCTCCACGGTGCAGCGCTAGAGCGACGCAGCTGGATAACTGTGCGCCCGAATATCGATATTAGCTGCTTGAGATGCATTTCAAATCGCTCAACCTGGGGGTGCCAGGTTGTAATGGACGTTATCCGTGCATTTGTCTCTTTACCGAGTTCCTACGTGTATTACATGTCCGAAATCGGAGCTTTGTCGGGGTCTTCTCCGCTGTGGGTTTCCATTCGCAGATGACGTGATGGTCTTTTAGACCTCGATTCCCGCATGTCATGACTAACTCGAGCTCAATCGGGGAATGAATGCATCGAATAAAGGCATATAATATGGGGCATGTCGGTACATTGACCAGGAAAGGCGCGTAGCCGAATTGATGCCATCATGCTCTAGCAAAGCACATTGTGATGCATGTTTTATCAAGGAAGAAGGCCAACGAAAGGGACGAGCCTGCCAGGCGTTTCCAGGCAGAGGGTAGATATGGCGGGGCTCCCCAACAGTCTAGGCCAAGGCTGGCGGAGACTCTGGAGACTCTGGAAACAGTATCCAGGGGTCCCGCTTCGAGTTACAACCCGAGATGCGCTTCCAGCCAGATATGCGCAAGCGACCTGCATCTATCCATTGACTCTGCTCCTTGACCCCTTTTTAGATTTCCTGACATGCCTATAGGCCCTCATGGCCCAACGCTTGTCGTTGTCGTTGCTGTCATCCGTCAACGACCATAAGCCATGGCTCCCGTTGCCGCGATGACCATTCTAGCCAGGTCCAGCCAGTCGTCACCCAGCGGCAGTTTGCCCAGTTTGGACACGAGTGAAGCCTCATGACCTTTGGGTCAGGGGCAATCCACAAGTAAAAGGGTCTGTACGGACCTGTGTAATGTGTACGGTGGGACGCCAAAGGCAGGTAACCACGAGCCGGCGGGGTAACGGGGCTCTCCGTCATGCTGCGAGAGTTTATTATGGCTTGGCGGACGAGGACTCCGTTTGTATACGCCGTTTTGAGCCGTGCTCGTGTCTGAGCGCTAGGGCACGCCCAACGAAGGAAGATAGACTTCGCCTGGGAGATTAGCTCCAGGCTTTTGACCTCGTCGCGAAGATGGGACACGGACAACCACTGGGGAAGGGGGTTGCGGGCGTTGTGGGTGCCATTCTTGTCAAGGCTTGGCCTGTTGTTGAGGCGCTAACGGAAGGGGGAGCTCAGTCCCCGGGGCCAAGGGTCCATTAGTGCAAGCCTCCAGTATGGAGTACCCCGCATTTTGAGGCCCAGACTGTGTCCCTGAGAGCACGGCTGAGACAAATCGCAGTGGGTCCAGCTGATGTCACCGGTTGCAGGCCGCATTTGGCTTCCGCTAGAATAGGAAACGAGCTTCGACCCAGCGGAGCCCGCAACGAGGTAATTGGCGCCGAACTCGCGTGCCGCTCGAGGTTGGTTACGTCGAGGGGTTAGGCAGGTTGGATGGCGTGGATGACGGGTAGAAAGCAAGCCAATGGCGAACTGTGCTCTGGCTGGCCGATTGCGGATGCGATGAACAAACATGGCACGAGATGGACAGTCGGCAGTGGAATCCATGGGCCAGACCTGTGGCCGTCCCGTCATCCTAGGGAATCGAATTCGCGATTCCCCGCCGTGCATGGCTCGAGGAATCCGATATCGATTCCGGAGTCCGCAGTGACCCATTGACCAGACGCATGGTCTGCGTGCGTGTGCTCATTTTCAGTGGCCCGGTTCGTCTTCTGACGTGGCCTTTCCAACGTTGTCGCAAGGCCCACGGCAAAGTCCAGAGGTTCAAGGGCTAAGGGTAGCACGGCAGCACAGGTGGCTGGCTTCACCGACCCTTTGAGCATGTTTCTGCGCGCTTCCATGCCCCCCC